CCGCACCGCATGAATGTTGACCTTAGAATTTGTGCGACTATTTTGGGCCTACCCGTTGTAATGGAACCGGTAGAAGATGAGCATGGCTCTGGCTCGATTCAATTACTCAATCTCCGAGAGTCAATCGTTCGGATGTAGTTCGGACGGAATGGATATCCGTCGGAGCGGTGCAGTGCGCGTCAATCCGCTCGGTTGTCTGTGTATTATGTACCCCCCTATTGGACGCATCGTAGACTAAATTAGAATGAGCGCGTGACACATTCCATGCGGCCGCCCGTAGGGAAAGGAGCCGTTTTCGCAGAAAAATGAAAATAATCGCGCTCTGTCGGAGTCGTCTTACGGGAAATCCATCGTGGAAACGCGGGGACGCGAGAGTTTCATTCCAGAAGCTCTCTGAAAAGAAACAAGAAAAGCTGAGCGGCGATATCTCGACTCTGATCGCCCCAAAAGTTACCTAAGATATTTGACTTTTTCCTGTACTTGTCGACGATGCCCTGATTTAGAAATGTCCCGAGTTTCACGGGATCGACGTGAAGGGAATAGCGATCGGCGGAAGCCTCCGCACCTGACTTACTCGGGTAGTCACAATGGTTTTGCGGTGTGACCCGCTTGTGGTCTCAAGTCGGTTTCCCGCCGGGGAACATTGAGTGGATTATCGCAAGAAAGAGCTCATTCGCAGTCGCGGCCTCTCCTGCCAGTGGTCCGGTGATCAGATGCTCGATACTTCAGGTGTTCGGAGAATCCTTCTGGATGGAGTGGATTGAGTTTTGGTGCGCGGTTTGCCCCTTGCTCTAAAACGCCAGCGATGAGCTGAAGCACTTACAATTCGCCTAACTTTTAGATTACGGGCCATAATGAATCAACATATCGCCGCCTTGCACCCATATGGAATTCGGGGACGCTGGTGGATCACGGCCGGTTGTGCGTGCGGCAGAAACGCTGCGTCAATCCGCGAGCTGAGGGCTCGCTCTGCACGGTTCCTCCAATCTGCTGTGAAGACTCGACCGCCCGCAGGCTATTCATCTGAAAAACTTGATTCCTCCCGAAGCTTTATCATGAACGTAAATAATTTCCTCAGCAGTGCAGTCATCGAGCGACTGCCGTCGACCTGCTCATTATAGAATGTTGCATCGGAATCTCGAGAGTCCTATCCTCGGTGAGGTCGAATACAACGGCCTTCGCCTGCTTCGAAACAAGTTCCGGACACGCCAGGCCGCCGCCGCAAACAAGTTTCGGCCTATCTTCCGTGAGGTTTCGTCGACAGTGTGTTTGACAATAATTCAAAAGGAGTTTGATGACTTCGAATCACGTCAGCCGGGGATGCGCCATGGTACGTCGCAATCGAACCCCAACGAGTCCCTCCTGATTGGGTCTTCCGCAACGAAAGAAGAACGCAGGAGATTTTGAAACGGAACGAGCGATGTATATGTACATATGTACCTTATGCGATTGGCTCGTCCGACTGGCTCCAGTCATTTCGATCGGAGGTGAAGGCCATATTCCGCGCGCATTTAAATTCTTTTCTCCCGCAGGCCAAATACACCTAATTTCCATAGTTCTCTTCACGGTGGCGGCGCCGGCGGGCTCGGGAGTCTAGCGTTCCATTTCGGAAATCCCGTAGGATTGCGGTTTGAGATTCCGATCGTCACAATCATTTCTTTTCTGACGGAGAAGAATTGAGTCGCCGACGATCGATGTCCTAAAAAGTGTTCGGTCCCGAAACTGCAGCGAGAAAACCTTTCCCTCCTCGTGTGACAGCATCTATCGATCCGGCTAAAGCCCGGAGGCTCCATCATGAAAACTGGAGATATCGAGGAGTGAGTCGCAGGTATGTCTCGTGAGAGACATCCTCTTGCGGAGCCCTCTTCGCCGGCGGAGATTTCAAGAAAAAAGCCTTGCTGACTGCCTCGAATACTTATATGCCGCAGATGCCGGCGAGGCCTGCGGATGCGACGTTCTTCGTTCGCTGCTGCGGGCGCTCGCATGGAGTGAATGATATCTATGACGAAAGAAGCTTACGGAGAAACAGAGTCACTGAGCTCTCTCGTGCTCGGCCGGGCGGAACGCTCGCAGCTTAAAGGCGGGGGCTCCTTATGAAGACACTCATCAAGCTGCATTTCGTTTCAATGGTTCAACAAACCTCATTGTGTCCCCGGCTTGCTGCCTCATGCCCCGGCTTGCGAGTCGGCAACAGGCTCTCGGGGACTCTCTGTTTAGGTACCCGTTCTCAAACAAGGGGAGAATGAGGAGGAGGAAACTTCGGCACCCTCGACAATTTCAGGTGCCCGTCGGATAATCGCCAATGGTTTCCGAAAACTTGAGCGACCGCGCTCGCTGCGCGAGGAATCCGGGGACTCACGGATCTTGAGGTCCTGATCCAGATTCCGGAAGGATTTTGATCATGGGCCTTGAAAGCTCTTCACGCGCATGCGCGCAACTCCTTCGAGTGTCATCGCGACGGCAACAGTTCCGCACAAGCCGATAAATCATCGAGTGTAGTTGAGTTATCGCTCCCAAAGTCACTTTGGCTGTTCATACACACTTATAAGATGGAGCGCATTAACCTCTCTCAGCGGTCTCAAGGAAAATTTAGATTGCTCGTTCATCAGACTAATGGGATGTGAGCAGACGCACCTTAGTCAGGGTATTGTGGGACGGCCTTCTTTGTTCCGAGGAAGAGCTGGAATTTTTACCTCTTCCGAGCGAATCCATTGCGCGACCCGCCGTCCGCGACACTTTCCCGCAAGCCAGGAATTCTCCTTCCCGGAAAAATGGCCTTAGAGTGAATTAAGGATGTGGACCGGGAGAAAGCCGGTGATCGCCCAGCCGAATGTGGAAGTCTCCATTCTTATTCATATCGACGCGAAGACACTGTCTCGACCGTATCTTGCCATCTGCGGAAATTATTCAAATTGGTCCGGAGGCTCTTCTAATGAATCTAAGAGGACAGCTTCCTACTCGTCCGTTGGAAGCGATACGCGAAGGCGAAATTCTCGCGGAAGAATTCCTCCTCCCCGGTCGCAGCAGATATGTCCGGGGTAAGTGATCGCTATCAGTGGATCATCGATACGAACGGTGCGGATGAAGGGTTCGGAACACTGCCTTCAAGCTCCGATTCAGATGTACTAGTTTGACAGTACGCTCCGCTCGAGCTACCACTCGGGCGCTGATATTACGCAGAAAGGGCTGGTCTCCTTCAAACTCTCCGATACTTGAGTGCCCTGACGCCAAGATGGACGAGGATCATTGCAATCACAAACAAGCTTTGCCCAAGGACAAGGTTGAATAAACTGACGGACAGGAAGCCTCCCAGTGCGAAATTCGGCGGCTTCCGTTCGTGACCACAGGCCCGAGCTGAGAGCAGACTGAAAGACGTTTTTATATTATAGAACACACGAAACGCTACGAACCATTCGTCTTGATGACGAAGACGTTTTCGCGTTTTTTGAGTGCGAGTGGCGATGGCAAAAAAAATTATCCATGAGACGAATTCCCCCTCTCTACGAGACTTACCTAGTCATCGATTTCTAAGGCTCGATACAGACAGCAAACGACCGAAATGGGGTGAATTCAGTAATCTCGAATCCTCCATCGGGAGTACCTTCTGATCCGAGGTGATCGCTCCTGTGTCTCTCGGCGTCATCGAAGGCGCCTGTGTAATCGATTGCTCAATTAGAGTCGCGCTGATTAAACAGTCCAGTCACGTTTTTACTGAAGTCTCAAGAGTATACTCTGAGGATGAGCGCAGAGAATCACCGCCAAGCCTTTCGAACAAAAACATCAGAGCGCTTTTCAGTCCTCGCGCTACGAAGTTAACTTGGAGCAAAATCACCTCCACCGCGCTGGGACCCTCAAGTACCCGAGTTTTTTTAGGATAACCTTCAGGAGGTCAATATGAAGCGCAGAATTTCCGGCACGAGTAGTATATACCAGCCCCTCGTATACGGAATCAGCCTCCACAGGAAAATTCAGCCGCGCGTGTTTTTCCGAGGTTCCTCCCACGATCAGAAGTTGATTGATCAATTTCTCATTGTGTTGCGGAATTCGAGAGCCGGACTGCCGAACTCCCTACGGGACTCTCGACGTGCGATTGTGGCGGAGCGCAGCCTATCACATATGTAGGCGGATTTATTCCACATGCTCGTGTCCGATTCGATGAGACTCTTCATTGAAATCGACGGAGGGCTGCACCGACAATGGCAACGACGACGACAACAACAGCAACAACAATGCCATCATTTGAGACTGAAATACGAGAGAGTCAGCAACGGGGTTCGTATTCTACGTGACTGGCAGCCAGAAGCGCTTCCGATAGACGACGAGATACGCCACGAGCCACTGGAGTGACGCGCTGGGAGACCCACATATTTGTGAACTCTGGGCGATAGCCCGACCTATACAGGGTCCATCGGTATCTCTAGTGGTGATCACTGACCTTGGTTAGCTTGACAAAAAAAGCGTGGAGCTCCGAATCTATTGGAGCCTGCCCGAGGGCTCGAGTGGCGGCTCGTGCTGCATCCGCCCTTGCTATGGCCGAATTCGAAGCTTCGCGCCAAACCAGAACGGACGGTATCTGGAAAATTCATCATTCATCCCAGCGACGGATCGTGATTATTCCTCTGTTCTAGTCGAGGAGGTTCGAACGATAGAGCCGGATTGCGTCACGATGGGTACCAGAGAGGGAAGGATTTCCAGATTCGACCGATCAGACAAAATCCTCTTGGGAGAGGAATTTCTCTTAGGATCATGAGGAACTTTGTTATTCATTGGAATCGTTGCATCTCGAACGTTGCGCGACAGAGTGATACCTGATAAATCTGCGGATCTCGCGGTGGTGATCCTGGGTATATTCCCTCTCACTAGGGCCGAGAACAAGTGTCATATTCTCCAAGTGTCTTGATTCATTATGGACACGGAGTGAATGATGTTCCACTGAGTGGGTATGCTCAGATGGTGATAATTCGCCCCCCGAACCCTGTGAGGGAGCTGCAGAGCAGATCATGAAGGCTTTCAAGAAAAACGCGGGCATCTACTTGCGAAAAGGCCGGGAGAAATTCACCAATCTTTTGAGTGGTAGGTTCCGTCGCGATTCCTCTGTTATTCTCTCAACCCGACTCCTCTTATTCGGAGCTTCGACCCTCCCGTCTTGCAGCGCGCAATGCCGAATCGAATATATTCTACGATCTGAGGAACCACCGGTGAGAAGCTCCCTGAGTCTTGAACGATCGGCGCACATCACGCGGAACCCTTCCTCGTTTCTGCTCAGAAATTGTCTATATAGATTCGCCTATATAGGTAGAGTTATCTATGTTTTCCGGGCCGAATTCCAGAGAATTGGACATGGCTCGTAAGGTTCTAGACGCCTTCGTGAAAGAGAACCAGACAAGCGATACCACGATTTCACCCGCCCAGCGCTTCGTCAAGGACCAGGCTGTGGGTTTCGCGAAATATGTTCTGCAAGAAATCGTGAATGAGCACTTAACAGCGAATATACTCCGTGAAGGAATCGAGAATTTGTATTTCCTCGGCCATTATTGGAAGTGCACTGAGGAAATCGTGGCCAAGGTAATCTTGATTTTAATCGTTCTTTTGTCTTTCTCTAATGATCGTCGAATTCTCATGCGACCATCTTCCTAAGATTTGGATGACCAAAGCGAGTCATTCCATCGGATAGTTCCCTCGTCGGGTCGGTACATCCCGAGGACCCCATCGAGTTGACTTCCCCTCTGCCGATAATATTTGGCCTCGAGGTGTACTCGTGGGGAAGACTCCTGCGTTTAGGATTAAAATATCGTCCACCCTAGTGCTTAGGCTCGGACCTGTGTTACATCGTAGACGGATTGGGACCTTTGATCGAAATCGCGGAGCAACTCAGCCGACTTCCGTCGACCGATTGGATCGCTGTCTGTTTGTCGATACGAGCCGAACTCATCGCACCTTGCGGGGAAGTTGTCGAGCAAGCCTGCATTCCTTCGATAAAATATTTCTACTTCGAGAGATTGCTCGGTGAGGATTAGAACGGATCTGCCTTCGAGATTCTAAATTGTACATATGAGGTGGTGAATCCTAAGTGCCCCCAGGATCGATGTCGTCGTCTCCTCCTTGTTGGAGCATTTCCCGAGACTCCATATTCGGGACGATGAGATATCTAATCAATGAATTGCTCCCAGGTGCCGGGGGTTTCGGCGCCGTGTACAAAGCTTTCGTGGGTGAAGCTGTGTGCTCGGTGAAAATTGTGCCGAAATCGATGCTGCCAGACATCGAGCATGCCGTAGCCGACAAAGAAGTCGCTACAATGGTCAACCATCCGTGCCTGGTTCACTATCACGCGACTTTCGCCACCGCAGAGGCTTTTGTGACGGTTATGGAATACATCCGAGGAGTCGACGTCATCCGATTAGTTCACTTGAGTACTCGCTTGTCTGAGACCCTTGTTCGTCTGATCCTGGCTCAGTTGGGCCTGGCCTTGTACCACTTGCACTACAAAGGCTTCGTGCACCGAGATGTGAAGGTAAGCGAGGCCTTTGTCGATTCGGATAGCGACTCCCGTGGAAATATTTCCTCTTCCTGATGCAGGTGGAGGAGAAAAGCCCTCGCCGGAGTTTCTCTGCGAATCTTTTGCATTGCAGCCAGCGAATATGATGATCATGGTCGGTTGTCGGGTCAAACTGATAGACTTCGACACCGCGAAGGTGTGCATTGGAAAATATGCGAAGCGCACGCTGACTACGTTTTTCGATCGAACGGCAAGCGAATTCAACGATGGGGAAATCGCCGGGACCATTTACTACATGGCTCCCGAAATGTTGAAGAGTCTCGATTACGGCAGAGCAGTAGATTGGTAATGGGCTCGACTCTCTTCGGGGATCCTTTGATGGGAATAGCGTTCAACTCAGAATGTCCTAGCTTGAGTAACGCGTGATTTTTCCTCACGGACCTCTGAACAACACAAATTGGGAGCAATCGACTCTCCTCTTTAGGTGGTCGTTCGGAGTGACAGCCTACGTTCTCTCGATGGGCAAGCTTCCATTCTCGTTGAAGCCTTCAATGAGTTTCGACGAACAAAAATCCATTCTCTGCAAGATGTCGCACTCTTGGCCCAAAGGACTCCAAATTTCAAAACATTTCAAGTCTCTTGTCAAGCAATGTCTCCAAAAAGAATCGTCCGGTGAGCTCCCACTTCGCGGGGACGCCTGGAATCATCCGAAGATCGATAAGCGAGCTCCTACTGGCTACTGGATAGATCTTTGTATGTTATTTCGAAATGATGCTCGTTTCTAAGGTTGAGGTGAAAATGACCCGAACCCCTCCACAGTGCGATTCTGTTCGAGACATTACTCCGACTTCCCGAAGCACCCATTCTTCTGTGAGCTCGATCTTCGGTGGGTGGAGACAAGTCCCGAAGTACTCAAATTCGATCCCATAAATTCAGTTGCCTTGGGAACATTGACCTACGATATATTGCCGCACAATGACAGCCCCTGCGCTACGCCCACTGCGGAGAAGAAGTGTCAGACTCTGTTCCCGACGCCCGGTTTGACGGTGAGGAATCGCGGCTTAGTTCTGCGAAGATTTTGGGAGGTCGCGAAATCCTGAAATTCGCCAGAGGCGGCGACGGTATAAAAAAACTGTGGGCTCCTTTTTACTGCAGGACACACAGGAGCAAGTGAAACTTTTCACGTATCTTGCGCCTGGCTTTAAGAGAGCGTGTCAAATGATCCAGCGAGGTGAACTCCCGACTAGCGAAGTTATACGGATCACGCCTGAACTTGTAGATTTCCATGAATCCGGCAACACATTTTTCTTCACATCTTTCACAGACAGTAAGAGTACTTAGTTGAGTCGATCGTTGGTTGCGAATAAATGTTTCTTATGTATGTCAGCCGAGCAGTTTTTCTTCTCTTGTCTCCATTCGACGAGAACATGCTCTGTTATGATTCCAGATGACTCAATTATCGGACCTTGATGACGGCGGGTTTCCGGCTTGCAAAAAGCTCTTGTCTTTCTGACACGAGCCGTGAGACGGAATGACGAGGCCCGGAATTCAATTTCTGAGTTTGAGATCAATATTCGATTTTGAGAGCCGGGGAGTCGCCATCTCCTCTGAATTTGACACCGTGCTCCTTCTCGTGCTGTGATGAGATTTCGTGAAGCACTTCATGGAGTGACCGGTATGCTGCTGATATCGGAAGTTCCGTCTTAGCTCGATGCTCCAATCGGTGGGATTTTCCCCACTCCATCGCAATTATGGGGAGAAAATCTTTGAGAATCGTCGATCACGTCAAGTCATGTTTCCCGGGAAAAATAAGCTCATCCCCGAAACCCGTCTCATTGAGAACACAGTTGTCTATATTTTCTGCAATATAAGGAATCCTTTTCTTTATTCATTTGCTTCTCTTGAAAACAACGATCCTCATCAAATGCGCCAGAGATGAGCTCGATATCATCATTTATAATACACAGGTGATTCGACAACGATGAGGCAACCTCTTAGGAACTCCGCAGGTTCATATCTAAGCGCTCGCTCTCGAATCCATTCAACACGCACGTAGCTGACTCGCGTTCGATCGAAGACGTAATATTCCGTTCGGAGTCAATGATGCTCAGTAATAACTCGGCAGCGATGCTCGTAAATAGAATCATTATACTTATGAACATAAATTAGAACAACGATCAGAATCGAATGGCGTACACGGCATTCCGAACAGATCCGCCTCGAGTGGCCTCAAATTTTCTTTCGTTCTCAGTTCTCCGATCTAACCGTCGACAGCTCCCTGATCTTCCAACGCGTTTTTCCCCACCGTTCTCCTTTCAATAATCTTCCTTTATACATGATAAGTTCGCTGCTCTGACTAGTGCCCGTATGATTGAGGTGTGGTCTCAGCGAACTCTAAAGCGCCTTCTCTTCAGAAACTATGCACGCCGGGTGATTTCCTCAGAAGATTGCTTGAACTCGAGGTTGCACGGAAATTGGCAGAGTGAAATACTGGTTCGAATGGATGGTTTGCCGCGTCATCCACGTTGAAAATTACAACAAATCCTCCCGATATGCATGGTGATGCAACGACCTTCGTCCGCCAGGATGGTTTCTCGGCTCAATGCAAGGCATTCCCGATCCGACTGCTCGACAGATACTCCAGATCGCCTGTAGAAGTATTTGTCCCAATAAATATTTGAGAGTGCGATGAAACTTCGCAAATGTCCCGATCGACTTCCGGCAATTGGAGCCCCGAAGTTTCTGCCGAGACGCACGGGTACAACCTCTCAGCGGCCTTGATGAACCGTCGAATAATTGAAAGATCTGTCCCCGGCATCAGTTATCTGGACGAAAGAGTTGAAGCGATGGGGAGGAATAGGAAATGCGCAACCTTACCTGATGCACCGAACAATTCTACGGGTCATCGAGATTCAAATTCGGAAAGGTCGAGTTATTTAAAATAGAAATTCCTATTTACATGTATGCAATCATGAGATTCAAGTAGTTCGATAGGAGAGATGGTACAAAAATTCTTGAGAATTGTTACTACAGCATGTGTAAATATTCATGAATGGGACTGAAGGGAGGGAGTTTTCCACTCGAGTCCGAGATAATTTGATTGCCGAATTATTCTCTTGACCGGGTCTCTCCATGGATCGCTTTCAGAAAGTGAAACAGAACTCGCGTCATGTTTTTTGGAACGAGACTGAAAGTTATTCTGACAGCTGGGGAGTATATCCACGACAAGATACCTCTCAGGTCGAGAATTCTTCGACTCCGTCAGCCCATTCTTCCCCATGACTAGCTTTGTAGGGTGACCAATGACGTTTCTCGACGGAATCCATTGAATTTTCGAACGTTGAACGAACTCTCGAGTTGATTGCGATCCGTGATTTCTACAACATCCAAGGCCTGCGCCAAATACGAAGGTGATCGGTCGCGTGAGAGCCCACAACCAGGGCATGTTTTACAAAATATACAATAATCATTCCATGTATGATACACCGGTGGAACCTTCATCGTACGCTTGCTCGACCACGCATACGGATTGAGACACATACGCGTACCTTACGATCGGAAAAGTAATTCCTCGAACGTTCCGCACATCACATCAATCCTTCTGAGGGTCCACCATCACTGCACAGTAATCACGATTCGAACCCTAGAGTTCCTGGCTAACAATTAAATAATACCTAAGCTTTGGCATCCTTCGATTCGAAAACTCGCGCGCCATGAAAACCGGGCGAGGTTCGAACATTGAAAATGCGCTTGGTCTCCTCGGAGGTTGTAGGTAGGTATGTCTTCTAGCCGAAAGGCTCAAGTGACTCCCGTTTACTCGTTGGGCCGAAAGATTAATACAGGGGAGTCAACGTAGACGTGAGATGACCGTTCGGAGTGCCCCTGTGAAGATCAACTCTATGCTGCGCTATTCGACGGCATGCGAATATGTTTGAGCCTTTCGCGACGACGACGGCGTGAAAGGGCGAAGCTTCCACAAAGCGTCTCGCTCACGCGGATCCCAAACAGAGTTTTTTGAAGGTGTATCTGTCGCGTTAATACAGACTTGGTCGTATCGCGCGTTATGAAGTTGAACGGATGATCTCTCGCAACGACACTCCTAACAGACACCGAGATTGGAAATGAGTCATATTCAAAGAATATCTACTATCGAATACATTTGAAAACGTTCCTTGTTCCGACCTTGTTCGGTAATACGCTAGATTTAAACAAACTAGCGTGAGCCTCCGAGAGTATCACAGATGAAAGCTGGGCCAACTATTTGGCAAGTAGCTCGTTCGTCCTTCTTGTCCAAAACACGAGGCGTAATGCGACTCTTTCAGCATCGACTGTCGATCGCCGTCTATTTCCCTCAAATTCCGATGAATTGGAGCGCTCCCGTTGTTGATGCTAATGGTGCCGTCGGTCGCCGAAACGACGCGCTAAGTTCACAGAGTTCGCTCCGGTTCGGCAGCTGTGGTCAGCTCGATCTTTGGCTCAAGATCAAAGCGAAGGTCATTGCGTCCCGCAGGTGCTTCCATCCGGGTGGGAAGAGGACATCTGCTCGCTGCTTCTTTTTCTCGTCCTTTCAGTCCCTTGTCCGTGTTCCCGACCGAACTATGATCGAGTGCAGCGGACGGTCACTAGCGCCCGCATTGAAAGGAACAGATCGACTTCGATTGCTTATCAGCGGCGTCGCCTGACGCTTTAAACCTGCGTGATGTTGCGGGACACCTGCACTCCTGCCGGCAGCAACATCGGTGGGTTGCCGTAGTAGGGCGCGAAAACTCCGGGCTGATGGGTGGGTTGCCGCCTGAACGAGTCCATTGTGCTGTAAAGACTCGGGTTCGACGAATTGATAGAGTCATCGGTAATATGGGCGTGAGGCGAATGCAGCGTCAACACCGACGGCGGAATTTCGTTGCGTTGTTTGGCTTCTTGGACCTTGCTATAATGCTCGAGGAGCACCTCCGCAGGCCATGAGTTCACGTGGCTGAGCCCCGATTGACTTTGCGACGTGGTGATGATAATATCCGAGCCCGGAATACCGTGGGATAGCGGGCCCATCGAATTGTGTGAGTGGATGGGGAGGGCGGTGGCGGGCGACGGTGGTCCGATCGTGTGTCCGATCACCCCCGACGTGAGATGGTGGCCGTTGCCGCCGTTCCCGCAGTCCTTGGTGAGGGATCCGGTTCTCGAGCCCGCGGACGAGTCCGAGTCGGGCGGGTTGGCGCTCTTGTTGACATTGTGGCCGTTGTGGGCGGCCACTTCAGAAAGCTTCTTCTCGATCTGATCGTCGTGCGCTGACTTGCATTTCGCTCTCGTGATGTAACAACAACCGAAACTGACGCACGCCATGCAGCATATCAAGACAAGGACCACAGGCAACGAGGGGTATGCGAGCACCGCCGCCATTCGTTCGTTTTCGTAGTTGGTCTGGGAATCACGATCGTGAGGAAATTCTTTCTGAGTACCGCCCTTCCCTAGCGATTTGATGACCGACGAAATGCTGTTTCCGTGCACGGCCGAAGGCATGACGTGTATGGCAACGACGTTCGACACCGGCGACAGCGTCCCGTACGAACTGTTGACCTTGAGCGCGAAGTAAAACGGCATAACCTGGTTGCGAGTCTTGATGAAAAGCTGTTCTCGAGAACCGGCCTCCCGAGGCGACGCGAGAGCGTTGTCCAGATCTTCGGACGTGAGCTCCTCGCCGTGGCTATCGAATTGCGTGAGCGCATCGTCTCGTTTGTAGAATTTCTTGACGATGTACGAACCGGCTTTCCCCACATCTCGGACGTTGCCTACCGCGGTCCAAGCGAGGCCGACACCTGGAGGATTGGATTGCAAGTAGACTACACGGAGATCGAGCACTCGGGACGGGTGCGCCCAGGGTGCTGCGATCTCTCCGTCGCGTTTCTCGCGATGCAGCTGCGTCACGAAGAACGAGCCGTAGAGGACGCGACGTGAAAACGGTTTCGTAGTGTTTAGGGCCGTTCGCATTATTGCGCTCCCGCAACAAGGGGTGTGGGGGACGGTGTCATCTGAAAGAACGGAGGATTCCGTGAGACATAGAAGGCATCACAATAAAAAGCAACGCATCAAAACGAACAGGTCGGGGAACAAAACGGGAAGACCGACGGTTTTTTCCCGACAGGTGAGAAGCGGGGAATAGAAGGGGGGAATGGGGGGGGGACAGGAAGGAAGAGCAGAGTTCAGGAGGATTTGCGAAGGGGGAGGAGGACGTCTCGGAGCAGAGTGAGCGGAGACCACTTACCAGGAACAGTAGCGCTGCGTAGAACCGCGGCGTTTCCGTCGCTTTTAGCCTCGACAATGAGTCTATATCTTCCGGTTTTCTTGATACCATCAATGAATCTCGAATATACGCCGTCGTCCTTCGTGATATCCGGATCCCCAGCCCCGTTATCTTTAAGGTCGACGCAGAGTGTCGGCTCGGTTTGGTCCGACACAAGAGTGATCTTGGCGACCACCCTTGCATCGACCACGGGGCGTCCACCGCGCCCCACTTTGGCGTACACCACGAGTCCGTCGTGTTGCAGACTGACCTGTTGCGCAAAAGAGAGGAACATTAGAAAAACGAAACGCGGTGGATTTCTAGTTGCAACGGAGGGAGGAAAGAACGGAGCTACCTAATTAGGAAAATTTAGTCGTTCCCTGAACGCTTCACTCACGTTATGACTGGGCTGTGAGATCCAGATTTCCACTCGGATCGGCTCCTCGTCCTCCCGGGACGGTTTGGCCGACGCGGTGATGATGATCGGTTGCTTGGTGTCTCGTCGAGATTTGGTCTCGAGTCTCCAGACACCGACGATAGGATCGGGTATCCGGAACTCGTAGTACCAGAACCGGGCCTCCGTGAACACGAATTTGTAATCTCGTATCGTATAGGTCTTCTTGCCGTTATGCTCAGGGGCGAAGAGTACTACGTCCTTGGAGGAAACGGCCCAGGCCCGATCGACGCCGAAATTGTGACCCAGTATCCTCACTCGCAGATCGTTGTCCAGAGAGGGGTCGACGTAAAATTCGAACACCATATCGCCTTGCTCTTTTCCGTAGAACTCCTTCTCCAAGATTTGGGTTTGACTTTCGTAATCCTGGTCGGAGAGTCCGCCATACGTGCTGAAGTACAGGGCGTCGTACAACTGTTGGAGGGCGGTCAGCGTTATGGCATCGTCGATGGGTGTATCGTCGATAGCGATCGTCCGACCTCCGGTACTCGTCACGAACTCGTCGAGGGTGTTCGATCTCTTGTGGGGTTCTGGCGGCGCTGGAAACACGATGGACGAGACGCGGACGCCGTTGTCGAGATAACTTTGACGGACGGAATCGTCGAAATCCTGTCTCAGAACACCGTCGCCGATGATGAAAACGCGTTGGGAGAAGATGTCACGAGGAACCCTCTCCATTATCTCGCTCGTGTCGTTCAAGGACTGCGGATGGAGGATCGGATCAAATCAGAGAGAGTTATGGCACAGAAGCGAAAACAACCGAAGGAAATGAGGGAGAAAGATCCACCTGGATCTAGCCATTGAAAAATGAATGGCGATTCGATAACGATAAATAAATTAAATCCAAAATCAATAGTTATTCAATCATTCAAGCCATCACTCACTCTCAAGGCGATCCTCAGGGCGTCTTCTAGCGTTGAATTTCCTTGCGCCTCCATGTCGGCGTTGTTAATCAATGTCGCAATGGCTTTTTTGACGCTGTCGTCGTGCGCCGGTATCCGATGGAGCACCACTTCGCAAGGCACCTTGCCGTAAACTATCACAGTGATTTGCATGTTCGCTGACAGGTCGAATGTCAGGTAGTGTTCCAACGCCCGCAGCACGTAATACTGACGGCTCTGGAATGGGGAAAGAGTTTGCTGTCTAGAAGCCGGCAAGGTATTCTCGCGTGTCGGACGAAGTATTATCGGCTCGACATATCGTGCCGTCGGCCATTGGTGTGTTCTGTTGCAGAACAAGTTCTCAGGAATTTATCTCGGTATGTTGAGAATCCCAACTTGACTTGAGCGGCTAGCAACCAAGAGGAAAAAATGAGCAATTTTTTGTGCAACCCCGAGATCTCGGATCTATGAGCCGAGCCATTTTTGCACCGGGAGGAATCCCGGCAGTGCATACGTGTAATATGTACCTAGGGGAGCGCGAGAGGCATGCACGGTCAGTCGGTCCCTCGCTTGCGCGGTGAGCTTCACGAAACTTCGGCATTCTTCGATAAGAAGTCGAGAGAGGAAACGGGAGGGGCGAGAGGGTCGAGCAATATGGCGGTAAGGAATGAAAATCGAGCACTCACGAATTGTAATCCAGGCTCGCTCAGGTGGAGTATCAGAGCCACGGCGAGGGCTTTCTCCTGGTAGAACATGAATCGAGTCCGTCCCAAAGGACCGCTGGAGAAGACGTAGTAATGATTATCACTGCGAAATCTCGATTTGCTCTAATTAAATTTCGAATCATTATTAACGGTGATTCGAGCATTTTCACGCGGTCAGATCACTCCCGAAACTTACTTCCCCGCAGCCCGAGAGAAATCCTCGTGCTGGTCGATGATCTCGGCGACCGACCTTTGGTGGCACATGGCATTCTGCTTGTTCGGAAGACTTCTGTCGTGCTGATGTTCTCCGCAGAATTGAGTTGCGCTGGGAATTCCGCTCATAATCGAAGACTCGACTTCATCCTGGATGACAGGAATGCAGTCCATGTCCATCGGAAGGCCGTTCTGTAGGTTTATCGAAGCGTTGCAAGCTACTCCGTTGCCGTTCCTGGTTCGTGAAAGAATGAGGAAAATCTCGTTAGAAAAAGTCTGTTGGATGCGTCTGGTCCGGGAAGCGTTATAGTGGCCCTCCGCCATCTGCCCCTCTGTAGTAGATTCGGAGTAAGACGCTGCGACTCAATGGGACGAGTCGACACATGGGTCTCTGTTTGTTCCTAGCTTTACAAGCAGACGAACACGTGGAGAAAAGTCGGATATAATCGTGGCATGCTTTCATTTTTCCTTGGCGGAATGGTTTTCAGCCTTTTCCCGTCAGACCAGCTGTCATCTGTAGCGTTACGACCCGCTCTGGGATGGATTCTCCAGAATCGCGCGAGATAATCTCGACTTGTCTCGCTCCTAATTTAATAACTACTCTGATGAGCACTTAGTTCCCTTCAATTAGCATGATACCAATGCACGGGTCGAGAAATGGAGCGCTCTCTAGAAAGCTGCAATCGTCCTCGATTCAGGCAGAGAGAAATCCGAGACCCGAGCCTCGAATCAAAACAAGGTGCGGGAAATCAAAGTTTTCGCCACGCTCCGCTCCCCTTCCGCGACTGTCGCCAGTATCCGCGTCAAAGGATCTCATTGGATTGGAAGACTGGTCCTGCGAAAAATAAGGGACCAGCCCCCACACTCCGAGTGAGAATCCTGAACTCCATTGTTGAAACTTTCGAAATTGGAAGACTCCATTGAAACTCCCGGAGAAGTTTCGACCTCGCGAGGTGCTGTCCGTTGTCCTGCATAGCGGAGAGAGTCCCAGACTGTTTTTCAGTTGAAAAATCGGGGGTCCGTTCTGCTATCGCTTCGCGAAGGCAGCACCGAGGTGATTCGACACCGATGTATTTATCCATTATTTTCACTTACAGCTCTGGAGAGTCCCCCGAATCCATAGATATATAGGTACATCCTTCTTCCCTCGCAGGTGAATGCTTCCCATGCTGAGCGGAAGGTTCCCACTAGCGAAATTTCCAGCGGTGGATATCGAGGTGAACCCAGAAGGAGTATCAATCGTTCGATTCTCGAGTCCGCTGCTCACGGGCAGACGCGGAGGTCGAGGAAACTTCCCTCACATTCACGGCTCAGCGATTATCTGGCGTTATAAATCATCAATTAAATCGACACAATGGCAGGTGATGAATAATCGGCGCATAGGGGAACGATACACGTGGATGGATGTCTTCGTCGCAGGCACCCCTAATCAATGCCTGAGACATCAGCGAAATTCTGCGAAATGGATAAGCAGTAATAAATTTCCGAGTCATTCCAGGAGTAGAAGAAATATCGCTCGGGGGAGCCTCAGATTCCACGGCTCCTCTGCTCTGGAAAACCAATTCGACGGATTCACCAAAACCTTCCAGCCAGCTGCCGTTCGAGATCAAACCATGCCGCTGACGGCGACTTTTTCTTGCTTTCTCAAACGAGAGGGATCTCAGCGAGACTTGGAAAAGTCGATGAGTATTTATATCGACCACTTTATTTTCACTTGCTTTGTTTATCTCGCTCTCCGGTGGAGGCTCTCGAGTGCGAAGCAGTGCGTGAAATGTGGACCACAGTCACCCTCGACTGAGAACGTAAAAGGTTCCCAGAGAAATCGCTTCTCCCCCCTGAGCCGGTCTTTTTAATTCTCTCTCCGTCGCTTCTACGTCGTCTATGCGTCCATCCTCTTTCCCCTCGACATTCTCCCTTTGAGCGAAGCATCTTTTCTTTTTCTTTCCAAACATCCCTTTCGGAAACAAAAGCGTGCTTCTGTTCGACACCGACAATTCTCTCTTGATGATCTTGAGACAAATTTCTTCACCCAAATCACATCGGTACACGACACAGAGCTGTCCGTTGTACTTGGAACCATCTGAAAAACAGATGCACCAACAGAGGGGCTTCCCAGCAGGCTCGGGGTGTGGAGCGAGAACGATCCGAAAGGTGGGAAAATGGAGTATATGGATCCACATCGGTTTTGAGGCGACCGGCGAGCGGATCCAGAAACGCTTCCGCAGCCCAAGCCGAGATCGGGCAGGGTTTCAAGAGACCTCCAAAGGCTGTCATTGAAACCCAAGGTCGGAAATTACGGCCTCCTCCTACAACATTCCCCCGTAGGCGAGCCCGGTCCCGGATAATCGCGACGATCATGTTTTCTCCGCGAGATAGCCCTTAATTCGTAGCCTCGAGCACCCAATATCGACGTCGTAATGCTGAAAGTCACGTAACTTGGGCCGTGGCGGTTGCATCGCTAATCTGAGTGACACTCGCTAAACGAGCGCAGCGCGAGCTCAAGAGCACCCGAGAGTGGGACTGACTCTCCGTGTGCCGATGACGAATCAGCAGGCCGTAAAACAGTCTCGCCTGATGACTGTCGTCACATCTGGATTGGATTCGAAGATGGGCGCCGGCGAGCCCCGAGTTATTTCAGCGGAACGACCGACAAAACTAATGCACATTGCAGGAGAGTGCGCTCGCGGGCGGGTGCGCGAGCGAGCCAGCAAGCAAGCATGAGCCGTTCCGAGACTTCTGAAAAATGATTCGACGCCCAGGCCTTCGCCATAAGAGCAATAACACTTCTCACTTTGGCCTGAGAGGAGAAGAAAAGAAGAGGCTATTCGCTCGCCTCCATCGCGTCCTCTAATTTCGCCTCCGTTCTCGTACGGAGACGTTGGCTGAGAACTTTCGCTTCGCAGAATTTTGTGATTCGCGATTCTTAACTTCATCGTTCCGATTCGGATCCTGGAACCCAAGCTCGGGGAAAACGCCGAGGGCTCCGGGAACTCACTTGAATTTCGGCCGAACTGGACGATCCGTGCACAAGTTGAGCTGGATGTCACTGTGCCTTCCGGCGGACGGTTTAGCGAAGTACAGTGGATAGATGGGGTCGCGCGGGAATCCATGTTCTCGAAAAACTCCATAGCGGTAGGTGATCCATTCACGTATGAATACGCGAGCTGTGAACCAGTGTTGTTGGTCATTAGGCGTTTGAATAATACGAAACATCCATCAGCAGTAACGTGCTAAATAGCGACGAGCGCGTGTGAGAGGGAAAAAACCGTGAGCGCCTGGCCTCGTTAAACTCGCTTGCTGCTACCGCTGCTGCAAGCAACCGGACACGAGTTGGCGTCGGTTGGGGGTTCACGAAAGGTGTTGTATGAAACTTACATGGCGGTCCGTATTTTTCGAAATGGTTCCGTTGGACGTAATCCGTGAAAAAGTTCTCGGGGATGACGATTTTATGAGCTTGTACACCGCAACCTCCGTGCTGCACGACCGACGGGTTCTCGCCGAAAGCTGATTCCTCGGCTCGTTCGATGACAATATCAGCGTCGCGAAACGACTGCCACGTCGGGAAATCGGGTCTGGGCAGCGGCTGTCTCGCCCATTGAGCCTTATTGGTCCAAGTCTTCGGAATGATAACGTGCACTTCGCCAATGTACACTCCACGACTTTTATGCAATTCTGCAGAAGCGTTCCGGATGACGGCCTGCAACGGAACACAGAAATTTTAGGGTCGGTTCTGCAACGGAACAGCGAACGGCTAGATCGGTGAGTCTCGCGAACACTAACATTATCTAATATCGACGATCTACTACCGAAGGCTCCACCGGGCGAGCGATCGAGCGAACGACGGAGAGGCGGAGAAAAACTCTGACTGATCAAAAACAGCGGCAACGAGCATCAAGTGCGCATCACGCCTCACGGAACCCGAATCGTCGTCAAGTGAAGCTCGTCACCGTAAGCGAGCTCAACTTCTAGTCGTCGTTGACGTTCAGCTCGTTGAGGTTTTTGGCCTACGAGTCGACACGTTTTTTTTTTCACTCAGCTTCTTTTACTTTCTGAGCTCCTTCTCCCTTGTTATTGTGATTTTGCGCTCACAGAGAGGCGAACCCACAGCTCACAATCAGCCAGTCAGACAGTCACTCACTCGCTTGGGGCGCGATGTTCTCCGTTCCTCAAAAAACATCTACGTCGAGCGACATATGGAGGGCAGGCTCCAACATGCATCGCGATGAGCCTCGCTCTCCAGGTTCAGGTTGTACAACGATAACTAATTGATGCGGCCGTGAGGTGAATTGATTCGCCACGCTATTTCACGGTCACTCTGAATATTCAACACGGGAAGCAATAACGAGCGCACTCCAAGACGAAACTTTAACGTGAATGACTACCAACAATGACGGACAATGCATACAGCAACGAGCATGGAGCCGAACACCATAGCGTCGGCAACTAACAATCACGGCGAGGGCCACGAACGCGAGCTTCACAAAAACAATAAGGGCCTAGCGAAGATTGAAGTCGCAACGGCAGGAGCGAGTCAAAGCTACAGAGAAGTTAAATTATTCTTCAGATTGAGATAAGCAAACGCTGTTCAACTATATGAAGTCGATGCTGCTGCAGGACGTGACGCATCAGTGCCCAACGAGTGTTTGACCGACCGCTTTGCGGTGCCGGCCCGACGTCCAGGGCGTAGTGGTAGCAGCCGGGCAGCTATTCATCGACGGTCAATTGGTTGTTTTGTTTTGTATATCTCTGCTCCACCGAAAAAAAGAAAAACAAAAAATAAAAATCTTCCCGGGAACCCGCCATCAGAGTCAGCCATGGACGAACGAGTGACCGACTGAGCAAAAACTTGATAACACTGCTAGTCACCCGAGCAGACCAACCGACGTGCGGACCGACGGACAAGCGGGTATATCCAGAGCAATTCAGACTCTCATCTTTTGGATTCGCATCTCACGAGCACTTCACGCGAAACCCCATATAAATTTGGGCTCCGGAACGCATGACAACGGGCTCGCCCGAGCTTCTCACTCAATGTCAGAGGCGGCAAACCATAGCGATTCCTTCAACCGGTCCTCGCCGAGAGATCCGACGGGATTCAGCGACAATGCTGCGAAGTTACGCGATCGGACTCGAGGGAGCATCATTATATTGATTGTTACTTCGCGTCCAGAGGGTATCTGTTTGATTTCCGATCGATTCGTTCCGATTTTTCGGAGCATCTGCCCTCGTCTCGCGGATGATATATCGTGCGCGAGTACAACATATTCAAAACAGATTCACGGTGACTTCCGACCGAAATGCCAGCTGAAAGTGGAGTCTATCTTCTTGAGTTCCCCCTCGAGCCTTCGCCCATCTTAGGTGACTGCACTCCACCAAGATACGGTCCCGCATCCCGTTCGGCGATTCCCTCGGAATATACACGCGCCCAAGGGAGAGCGCATTGATTCAAAACGGAGGCGACGCAGAACCGGTGGCCCGGACCACTTCGTGATGTCGGTTATGGTGGCCCACAGGCGTGCGCGCATCGAGCCACGCAATGGGCATGCGACCGAGCTCAAGGGCGGAATAAATTTTTAACAAGCTTGCTTAGGCGAGGGGTCAGAGAGCAGGGAGTATCATCCGCACGATGGAGATGAAACACTTTGCTGCGCACACAAACGAGCTCAGAATTAATTCGCATAGTAGTAGGTGCTCCGGTTGTAACATTCAATGCGACAGGGGATCGTGTCTGGAAAATGTTTGTGTCAATCTCGGAGCAGTGAGTTTGAAAACCTCAGCTCGAGCTGCACGCGAGTCCATCAGCACCGCGGGTTCTCAGTCGAGCGCATGAGTACTTTCGTGCTGATAACGAAATTATTTTCCGATGGGTTCTCGAGTGTTTTCGAAACATCTCATCAAGCCAAAGAAGGGAGTGCACAATCCGTGGCGGAGGAACCCGAGCGAATTCAACGATCTTAAGTGAATCTGAAAGGCGTGAAATTCCCCGTGTGTGGGTGCGCGTGGGACTTTCGTCCGCATGGAGAAACTGCCCGGCAGGAAGTCCGTCTGTCCCTTCGGCTGTGGGTGAGAAAGGGTGTACCCAAGAGAGAACGATGGGGATCCGGGGCTCGAGACGTTTGAAAGGTTTTTAAAGAGTCTCGAAACCCCTCAAGCATGAGCCTGAATTAAGTGGTCAGAACTCCGCAGATTCAGGCTGGGCTGCTGTCGCGCGATGCGTTGGAGAGCCGTGTCAAGGACAGATTCCTTCCCCACCAACGAGCGATCTCCGGCGACGACATCCTACAAGTATGTTCTTAATGAGAAGCAAACCCCACAGTTTCATTCAGAGGTCCTGCAAGGCGCCACTAGAAACAGAGCAGAACCCTCGAGGCATTAGCCGGGAGTGCCAGGTCGGCATACATACTCCCTCTGCTTGTTCGATCGGTCGCAAGCTAGCCCGTTGCCTGCAGCGGTGGTCTTGTTCGGAGGGAGCAACAGAGTCGTTGTTGTTGTCCTGGTCTTCTTCACTGTCGTCCCAGCGGCCGCAGCCATTCTCCCCTGGTTTCGCTCCGTGGAGATATATGGTATATATTGCATCACACAATGGCGGCGGCGGCGCTCTCTGCTGCTCATTGACAATCGATCGATTGGTGCTGCTAGGCGGTCCGCCGCTTGCCTGCGAGGCGGCTGATCGGCAGCCAGTCAGTCGCTCGCTCGCTCAGTCAGCGGGTCGGTCGGTCGACAATCGTCAAAGAAAGGCATACCCATGGAAAGAGTTACCATTCCCTGTATATTCACCGCGGCGATTACCAGCAGGCCTTCTCCTTCCTTCCCCAATCTTCCATCGACGTAGTACAGCCTAACACAGTCTCGCCCACGCGGCTCATTCATTTGAGGGCTGTATCCGCTCGAGGTGATTCACATCGATTCCGAAGGTAAACCGGAGGAGACCCAGAGCTCGCTCCGTCTCTCCCGAATGTTTTTCATTCGTATACACCTCAAGTACAGCATATGTTCTTCTTGGAAAATGTTCTCTCCCCACAGCGGACGCGCGATTCTCCCGAATTCCTTTCCAGACCCCTTCAATACAGTAAGCTAGAGCCAGCTTCTCTCGTCAACCGGAAATTAGCGAATAGTCCCGAGTCACGAGTGTGAGGACCGGTCGTCCTGCGAGTATGTACATATCTGCGGAACACTATTACAGCTGTTCCAGCGGGGACCGGGGGTCAACTTCGGTTCGACGTCTTGAACGGCGGACTCGACCGGTCAGCGAGGTTCTGGAGAGCCAGCGAGCCGGCCGCTTTTATTGTAAATGTGTGTCGCTAACTTTTTGAAAACTCTCCGGGAACAAGAAGTTTGCGAGTTGTTAACTCGACGCCAAGGCAATTCATATGACGTCCCTCCGGCACGGACGAACGCACGAGCGCTAGGCTCGCTGATAGCATCCGCCGAGCAGCAGCACCGCCGCCGCCACGCCACCAAGAAAGTGTGACCAGGCTGAATTTTTTTCGAGAAGTCGCCCGAGAGAGGCGGCCGCGCTATTACTTTGAGCGTTGCCGCTATCTCGCTCTCTCTGTCCCTTCTCTGTTCCTTCGTGCGCCCCTCTGACACTTTTTCATCACTCCTGCAGGCTCCCTCAATCTTCCTTCCACGGTTCCGTGAAGTATCACCAAGTAAGTAATACAAGACCTGCAAAGCTCACAGCTGAGAATCCACCTTCTGCCGGACGGGCTGAGCTGCGGTTGTGATCTGAGCGAGCGGTCGGAGATGCCCTAGAGATTTCGCCATTTTCGATTGAAATCACGGGCCTCCATTTTTTGTGTTCTGGACCTATGGTCCGGGAAATCTCGTATATCTTCCGTGTTTCTCTCGGCATGAGGCCAATGGCGTAAACACTGTCCGCTGATCGCTTTCTGGGTCGGAAGAGCGAGCTCAAGGCAGAATATTTTCCTCGAGCAGAATTATGGCGAGTGGAATGAACTACGGAGGCCCTCGAGTCCGCTTTTCTTTGTTTAGGAAACCGTAGAATAATGAACTCGGTAAAAGAGTCGACGCTCGGCACCTCCACGGTTCGCTCGAAATTCAATTCGGCTCACCCTCGACTCAGACGCGTCTTACGCAGGTCTTGATCCCGTACACGTGTAGCAATTGGATGGAACAGTTTTCCAGCTGCTCGCTCGAGCGGTACGGGATAAAAATAAGCTCGCATTGACGCCCGTAAAACCGAATGAGAGCAACTGGGCGAGTCAGCACCGAACAAAAAGGAAACATGGGAGGAAAAAGAGCATCTCGATCCCTAAGGTTGAAGCAAACAACGACTCGGCGAGCGATATCGAGTATCCGACAGGCTCGCGAATTATTCCAGACATGGAATCACTCAGTTTCGGCAAGCACGCAGGCGCGTGCTACGTGCGCAGAAAGTGGCACCCTGGAAATGCAGATGGAGGGCCGTCAAGATTTCTCGGGGAGCGACTCGGGCTGTGCTCGAGATTGATATTCGACGATTATATTTACAGCATTAAAGCCGAGACGTAGATCTCTGGGATGTCGGATAGAAATTCACCACGAGAGGTCACGCTAGAGGGCGCTGATGCAGTGTCTATCCAGAATACGTACACAGTCGGCGATGCTCTGGGAATATGTACATTCCGTCTTGTTCGAAGCTTGAAGAATGGAACGGTACGCGTCTTTTCATGACGTTAAAAGTCATCCCTCGCT